CACACACACACACACACACACACTGTGTGTCATCATCTTCCCCCCCCTTATGTGCCCTTATCACCCCTGGCACACAAACACACACAGAACAATTCCTCTCTCTCTCTCTCTCTCTCTCACTCACACACGTCGTCTCCCCCCCCCTTATGTGCCCTTATCACCCCTGGCACACAAACACACACAGAACAATTTGACACATTTCCCGCTCTTATGTGCCCATCCCCCCACATGGATCACACCTGGCACAGTGTCTGTTTTTTGTATATTTACTGCAGTTTTTCATGTATACCAGTAGTCTGATACAATATTTACAGTTTGAAAGGGTGATGATTCATGGTTTTTGTGTTGATGTAATAGCAATTAAAACAGGACCGGTCAAATTTTACCGCGAACACCAAGGGGGGGAAAACGAAGACAATAGGAGGGTTAAGGATTTAAATTGAACCAAAAACACTAAAATCATGCATATAATCAACAAAAGATGCTTTTAAATATAACATCTCAATTATATCTTTTAATTATCCAGAGAAGAAAAAAATGTATAAGTGTAGAATTTCTAATGGGTTAATTGAAAAAGAAAATGATTTGTATCGGTTCTGCCTGGTCTGTATTTTAAATATAACAATGTTATTGTTTGTTTTTAGCAGTGCTGACTAAGTATCCATTGAAAAGGAGGCAGTTCATCTTTGCATTTCTCAGAAACGCTTTCCAAATGGTAAACATGTGTTACTCAATCACAGAGGAAATAGGGGTCTATTTGGCTGATCTGTTCAGCAGAGCCATAGCATGGTATCGTGTTAGCTTTGGAAACACATCTAGAAGGCTTTTAGGTCTATTTGTCCAGAGTTATGATAGTGTTATTCCTAGTATCTGTTAGTGACTGTAAGGGTGAGAAGGTTTAGCAAACACACACTCCCCATCCTGTCACACAGCATGACCTGACTCCTCCAATCTGTACATATTCAACTGTTTGCCCTTTTATGCACATCACTGGTCACTGCTCCTGACACCATGATGTACCTGTCTGCTCCCGGTGAAGAGGGGTAACCATGACAGCAGAGTAAAAGGACCTCTATCCTGGAACAAATTGAGTAAAAATCAAAATAAACAAATGGTAGCCTCTTTCAAAAAGCACATTCAGTGACAGAGGTCATGAACATAGCATGCTTTTATTTTCAAATCACTGTAACAGCAACAACATCAGCCTTACTTGGGCACATTTATTGTGTTTATATGATGTTTTCACAGTGCTTTGGTTATATGTATTATGAACCTTTCTTAGAGTTAACAATGGTACAGTGACACAAACAAATGTCCTCACTAGTTTATTAAAACAGAGTAGAAATATCCATAAAAACACGTGTACAAGCAGTAAAATAGATTAATAAATAGGAAGATAGATCACTTAAGGGCATGCCATCCTAAATAGGCGGACACACTAAAACCCACCAATGTTGTGAGTATTATACTGTATAGCTTGGTCACCCTAAATAAACTCCTATAAAAAACAACAGGTCTATTGTCTGAACAATGGCATGCTCAGGTCCTTCCTGATTTACTGGATCAAAGTGTATTCATTTATGAAAAGTAGCAAGGTATAATAATGGCCTCCATTTGTTTATTTGTAAGCGCTGATAATATTAGTAATGCTTTGTCCTAAAAGCTTGTTGGTTCTGTAGGTAGGTCCCTTTAAAAGTGCTTTTAAGTGTTTTTATTAACAATTGTTGACATGTTTATGAACATACATAAACATTAAGTCCTTCCATGACTTACTGGATCATAGTGTATTCATATATGGAAATGAGCAAGCTATAATAATGGCCTTGTTTATTTCAAACAGTGACATATTGGTCGGTACCACACCATGTTATTCGTACATTTAGGTCCAAATAAAAGTGCTTTTGACATGTTTATGAACATCATCATTAAATATTATGAGCGACTCAATGTTAGCTGATGAATGATGTTATCGGAACACTTGGGACCTGGGTCTCTGTAGGCGCATGCGCAGTGCAGCGCCACACTGCCCGCGGTGAATGCAACTGGGAGAAATTCAACTGCGTGATCTGGAGCAGACAGGCGGAGGCAGCGGTATCTGCACTCCTTCAGGGATTACGGTGCATATTTTCCCCCCAACCGGACAAAGAGTGACTGGAGAACAGGTAGGAAGCCCAGAGTGTGTCTCTCCCTCGTCTCAGAGATTATCATCGTTTATAACCTCGATAGTGAGGAGGGTTTGCTGGATGCGTCAGCGGCGGATGGTGCCGCATGTCGGCTTTTTTAGTTCAAAACAAACGTGACGAAGTAGGTTTTAAGACGTGTATTTCAGTACAATTCGTTTATCTGTTCGTGTCATTATTGGTGTGGCTCTTCTTCGGCATATGCATTTTCATTGGGTGCCTTTAAATGGCTACGTTGTTCTCTAGTTGTGGAAGTTTCATGCTTTCCTTTTCCACGCCGCTCGTTCCCAGCACCAAAAGTATGACAAAGTAAAGGCCTAGCGCGCGAGGCCCAGAACAGATCTGTGAGTGACAGCTGCTTGGCCAATCAGATGCGAGTATCCCGCCCACTTGAGAGCCTTTAGACCAATCTTTTTCACGAAAAGCTCTTGCGTAGGTGACGTTCTCTCTCTCTCGCTACGCCCACTGGTTATAAAATACTGGACAATAAAGTGTCAAAGTGGACAACGGTAGAATATCTCTATGAGCTACAAAAAACATGCCCTCGTATTTTCTGCTAAAATAACAATAAGACCATTTCGTAACAGTCTATGGTTGAGAGATGTGAAAAAATTAAAGGGTGTGGGACGCTCTTTTCTCCCTTAATCCTATTAAATTCTCAATTTACGCTTAATTAGCCAAAAATATGCTTTATGTAACACTTTAAATTGGTGTTGATCACCCGTTTCCTGACTCGGGCATCACCAACTCTCGGTGTGTGTCCCGCCTGTGTCGCTGTCGACTGTCTGGCTCTTTGTGCAGGCCATAAAATGCACACTTTTCATCCTACACTTTGCATATTACTGACTGGGATATAGTTTGCTCGTTGATACCGTGCTGGGTGTCCGTATCTGCAGGCGATTAGCCGCCAAGGCTCTTCTCCATTGTCTTCTCCATTGTGTCCGTACGGGAAAATCGGTTGACCAGAAAACACGTGGGCTGAGTAGTGTGAAGATATCCGGTTTGTGCGTCGCACTAGCAACCCGGACTGCCTCCGCTATGGGGAACCGAGAGGGCTGTAGCCTGGACAAAAGTAAGACGTTATTGTGTTTAATGTAAATCGTTTGGCTTTTTAACGATAGGCGCCGATATGTCCTCTGCATGCCTGACAAAGGACCCCCTGTTGTAGGGAGGGAATTGACATTTTCTATGCAAAAATGATCCTCCTCCACCGAGGGGCTGCAGCAGGCTATGGGTCTGGATTTGATCAGACTGCATGAACAAATACCCCATTTAAGACCATTATAATGTACATTAGTCGAGTATTTTTGGTGCATGATTGCCTGTTTGCTCTACAGATTGAGTAGGAAGTGAAAGCTATGAACATGTCATCGTAGATCTTGTTCCTTCTTGTTCTTCCTCCTTGAGAGGGAGTTCAATAACATATTGGTTGCTTTAATGCTGCTCATTTTGCTAAAGATCATCATTTGTGCCTGTGTGAGTATAGACAACCCTGCTGATCACTGAACATCTGGTAGTAGTTGCACATTTCATCATCATTTGAGGTACATGGCTCACCTACAATGTCAGATTCCCCTTGCTTTACACTGGAATCACAACATGTGTAATCTGTATTATTACACCGGCAATATCTTTTCCCAGCCTTGACTGCATTATTGTTCTGCTGTGGGAGTGCCGCAATTGCCTTTTTAACACCAAAATATATAGTCTGGAGTGCAACGCTGTGATTTGCTAAAGCCTTCTGGTAAATAATTGTTAGTGATGACCTTAGGCAACCAAGGCTGACTGCAAGATAGTCTGTAAAAGTCCTTGCTAGTCCGGTGTATTGTGTTCTTGGCTAGGAACAATGTGTCTCTCAGTAGTGTACCCACATGGGTGTAGTTTTGATTGGTGTGTTAGGTTAATGTGTGTATGTGTGTGTGTGTGTGTACAGGAAGGGAGCCTTGATGTGGGCAGTATGAGTAAGACGCCCCCTAACAGAAGAGGGATATCTTTTGAGGTGGGAGCTCAGCTCGAGGCCAGAGACAGCCTCAAAAACTGGTGAGTCATGGCCTCACTCATTCCTCCCATCCCTGTAAATATTCACTTCCTTCCTTCACTCCCTCTCTCTTTCTCTCTGACATACTCAGTGTCTTTGTATCATTTCTGGGCCTGGCTTAGCTATTCTGTTGGTCTATTAAACATTAAAAGATCTTTTACTAAAAGAGCAAATAAAGCCTCTTGGAAAACAGCCGTTAATATGGATTGATAATGAAGGACGTTACGATTATCTCTAGACTCTTTTAGGGTTCCCTGGGGCCCTAAAATACAGAAAAGACATTTAATGAATGTATCTAAACAATAAGGCCCTGTCTGGTATTTAAATGTCTTGAATCGGATCTTAAACATGCTAAGAAATTAGGATTTTCTGAAATGTTGTCATTGTTTCTGACATGAACATTTAAAAAGAATTCCTATCATTGATTTGTATTCCTCTTAAAAGATGGCTGCCTCTCACATTCACACTGATCAGGGTTGCGAAATCAACAACACTCTTATTTGGTTTATGGCAGAGATACTCAGAGCAAATCCACTTTCTGCTGGTTATCGACGGCAAGGGGGAAGTGCACATTCAATACAAATTGGCTATCGACTTTATACGAGGCATTTTCCGCAGGAAGTGTTTACATTTGACTTGATAATTGATGTTTCTCTTCAGTTTTAGTTGATCAGACTGGCATCAAATCAACATTTACTTTAGCTGTAAGAGCCCTGCGTTTTAATCCTATTATAATCAAAGGTAATGACTTTGTAACTTTGACCAAATCTTAATAAGTTACTGGAGGTTATAACTTTGGTATTGTACTATTTCTGTAATCAAATTTTTTTTTTTTAGACTATAGTAACGTTTCAATGCCCAACACTACCCCCAATAAAGCATCCTCTTAAGTTACGCATCATTATTCACTTTGACATTTCCATATAGACTCATTTCCACTGACTAGCCACCTCATTATTTGTTTGAATAAAGAACAATGCATTAAAACCACTCCCTGTCACTCATTATTGAATTATTTCTCTCGTGTAGGTATGCTGCCAATATAGAGAAGGTTGACTTTGAAGGAGAAAAGATTCAGGTCCATTACCGCCAGTGGAGCCACCGTTACGACGAGTGGTTTGACTGGACCAGTCCCTACCTGAGACCCGTGGAGAGAGTGACGCTGAGGCGGCAGGGCCTGCAGGACGACGCTCCTGTTCCTGTAAGCTAACACCGCTCTTTATACTGGCTTTTTTACCTGTCTTGCCTCGAGAAATGAGAAGATCTGCCACTTATAGGTTATCTTGGGTTCTTCTAGCTTTTATTTCATCATTCTGCTTAGGGGGTTTTTTCCATTTGGTTTATTTTTGCTTAATCCAAATGGGTATCTTTTACTTTTACATTTGGGGTTGGGCCACATTTGAGCACTGTGTGTTTTTAATGAAAATGGGACAACAATGACAGCTTTGTTAGCTAAAAGAACCATGCCCTTTTGAAGTTTTGACAGCATGCCTACAGCATGCCCCAGACCCATCCTCTCTGTCCTCTCTGTCCTCCCTACAGGGCTTTCATGTGAACGACAAGGTCCTAGCCAGCTGGTCCGACTGCCGTTTCTACCCCGCCAAGGTCCTATCGGTCAATAAAGATGGTGGGTATCAAAGTGCTGAGCAAATTTGGACCAGAATATATTTTTTAATGTATACGTCTTTTAGCATTTTTAATGAATGACTGTAATGACCTTGTCAAGATTGTGCAATATGAAAACTGAAATGTTAATGTTTCACTTCTGTTTTTAAAGAGGCCCTTCTATATCTGTAGGGGTTTTCCCTTTCCTATTGTCTGTTATATCTATTGTACGTGATAGGCTAAGGGGCGGGACGTGTCTAAGCATTCGACCAATCAGAACAGAGCCAGCCAGCTAACCCATCAGAGCAGACTGGGCTCTGGTTTCAGACAGAGGGTGAACAGAGGTGCTGCAGCACAGGCAGTATGAGATAAATAAAGAACTTTTTGAACATGAAAGCATGTCACAGTACAGTACAATACAAATATGAACCTGAAAATGAGCGTAATGTCCACTTTAATGGTAGCTGTGGTGTAAAATTGCATTCAATTATAACCTAATGGCTTCTCTGACTGTCATAGCAAATACAAACGAAGGACAAAGAACTGTGATGCACAATAACAAAACTCTAAATCGGGGAATATCTCACATAAACAACAAGAGAATTAACAATTCAAGTGTAGAATAAAAAGTAGTCTGTAGTCTGGGCTACCTGATTAGCATCATGCTCGTTTCAAACATGCTCTCCTTTATCTTCTTCAGCATCTTACACTGTGAAGTTCTACGATGGCGTTATCCAGACAGTGAAGGAGATACACGTGAAGCCGTTTATTAAAGAGGTACATTTAGTCATTCAAACATCCATAACCATTTCATCTTCTATTCTATGTCCACTAGGGCTGCTCAATTAATCGTATTTTAATCGCAATTACAATTTTGGCTTGCAACAATTACGAAAACAACGTAATCGAAATAAAACGATTATGTTTTTATTTATTTTTTTACATTTTTTTATTGTGTTTTCAGTTGTATTATACTTAAAGTTCAGGGAAATCAACTGTTAAAAACATACTGTTCACTGTATTGTTTTTTCAATAAATGGATGTTTTCACAGTAAATGGATAATTGTTTTTAATAATCGTGATGTCAATTATTGACCCAAATAATCGAGATTATGATTTTTGCCATAATGGAGCAGCCCGAATGTCCACATTATTAATTAATTCAGAGTGATTCAGTATACTAAACCTATCTTTGTCCTGCTGATAAATAGAGAGGTGGAGGTAAGTGTCGTTCCTCTGAGAGAACCATGGTGAGGCGGGCCCCAAACCGCAGGAGGCCTCAGGAGAACGGAGGCCCCAAGAACAAGCGAGCCAGACGCAGCACGTCCGACCGGGAGGAGGACAGCAACAGTGAGCAAGATGAACGAGAACAGGGGATGGTCAACGAGAAGAACAAGAAAACAAACGGCGAGCTAAGCGCTGCGCCGGCCATCAAACAGGAAGAGGAAGTGACCGACCTGAACGCGCCCAGGGATTTGGGGAAGGGGGCGGGACTCACCAACGGGGTGAAGGAGGAAAAAGCCGAGGAGCAGAGCAAAGAGAAGTGTCTCCTGAATGGAGAGGTGAAGCAGGAAGAGATGGAAACAAAGCCATATACAGAGTCGCCCAAGCCAAACGCGGAGGAGTCACCCACAGCACAGATGGAGCAGGTGCCTGTCTCTATGACAACCACAGAATCAAAAGGAGGTGTGGAGCAGAAGCCCAGCGTCCAATCAGAAGGCTCCGAGCCCGCAGCGGATGTACCACCTCCCGTGCCTGTGAAACGTAAGTGTTAATGAAGTCAAATGTCTTTCATTCTGCAGGATTGTGAAAACGAGTGCAGTAAATATCACGTTGGGCATATTTTCAAGAGACTACATATTTGTTTTGCCTCTGATAGCGGTGAGGAAGCAGGGTTTCCACAACCCCAACAGATTCAGCAGAGAACCATGTGAGTACATTCAAAACACATTTTCTTGGAAGTGCTTTCTGTGGTGTCAAATGATCATATCATAATTTAAAACATATAGTCTTATACTCTGATTGCCTTTTACACTGTCTTCTCTATCCTCTTGAGGTTAAAGTAACGCTGTTCCTACATTTGGGATCGATTTCACTTGACTTTTATTTTTTTTATAATACTTTTTTTTTTATTGCAACGTCTTCAATTTACAACACAGTACAGAAGACAATTCAGGCTGCACAGACTTTCTTTATTACTTTATTAAATACTTTGTCCATGAATCATTTATCAGCTTATCTTAGTGTGGAATTTCCTCCACACTTCCTTTACGTGTCACTGACTGTTCCTCGCTCCTTGTTTCAGTGTACCGCGTCATCAAAAACCAACCTCCTCCGGTCCTGTCCATTAACCTGGACCACAACCCGTTTAAGTGCAGTGCTCCCGGCTGCACGAAGTCATTCCGCAAGGCCAAGCTGCTGCACTACCACATGAAATATTACCACGGAGAGGAGCAGCCTCTGGAGGGCGAGAGCAGCCCCACCAGGAGCATCCAGACCAGAGCCTCGGAGAAACAGACCGCTCCTCTGGACGGCATCAAGAGGAGGCGCACCATCTCTGCCTCTCTGCGTGAGTTCCTCTCTAGTGTCACTTCTGTCCTGTATGATGTGTAAGGAAAAAAAGCTTTTGATTATCACCGGCTTTTTCTACAAAGTTGCAGCACTGTCACGGCTATTTATTTACCTGAATGTTCGTGTTTGTTCTAGTGTATTTAAATGTGACGCAGCATGGGGTCCTTTTTGAACAATTTGCCTGTTTTTATCTATGTCACAATGGATCTCTTGTTTTTTAACTGCAAACCAAATCTAACTACATGTACAAATGAATAACCTGAACCAGAAAATCAGAATACCTAATCATGACATGCTCTTATTTTTAGTCAAACAGTGCTGCATGATTTCAATTATTTTTTAATTTATAGTACGATCTTTTTGGGACAAAATTGCTTATTCAAAACATATGTAGCGTTTAACAAATGTAGTGCTTCCTGCAATTTAAATATCCTATAAGTCCATATTTCAATTTCCATACAATTAATTGTGCAGCCCTAGTCATACACTTCTAAAGCAAGACTGCATTGTTTTATATATCACAACTTTGAGCTAATGTTTGGCCTTTCATTGGTTTTCCTCAGACCCTGTTGGGCCTGCCCCGGTCGCCCGTGGTGAGGTGAAGACTGCAGGCAGGCGCACATCAGCCCCGCCTGCCGTCAGCACCCAGATCCACCAGCAGAGGGCGCTGCTGAGGGAGAAGAGCAAGGAGAACCATCTGGACAGGAACGGATGCCAGCAGCTGGACTCTGACAAGAGCGGCTTTGACATTGGTCAGTACCACGCAGTACAAGGAGAATTACTGCATGGTGTATTTTACAAAGAGTCCAACTTGTTTCCCTTATTACTATCATTAAAGTAACCTGCTTTGACTTACTAACTCTCGCCACTTAACGGTCCCCAGGGTCAGTAAAAGACAAACTGAAACAGAAACAGAAGGACTTCCTCACCGTTAAGTGGCGAGAGTTAGTAAGTCAAAGCAGGTTACTTTAATGATANTCCAAGGAGTTTTTCAATTGAATTAATATGTGTTTAACAAACCAATGAACAAAATGATATATTATTAAAAACTATAAATACAATACACAGATGTAACAGGTTTATTTGAGGACCCCCTTAGTGGTTCTAGGAATATTTTATATAAAATTGTGTTTTCTATTTAACTTATTGTACTAAGATTATATTTGTAATCATGCATGGTTTTAACCTCACGTACCCCCTGCAGTACCCCAACGCGTGTGCGGTGCGGTGCCCCCACAAATAGAATCAAATTCTGGCATCCCTGTGTATTGAGGGCTAACCTTGATGCTGGGGCCAGTGGATTTGGGCTTGTCTGTTTCCAGCAGGCTCCCGTAGCGCTGCTCCCGCTCCAGCAGCTCCTCGGTGCTCCTCATGCTGTCCTCCAGCTCTGAGCCCTGTCGGGTCTCCACCACCAGCCTCTGCTCCACCGCCGGGTAATACGCCCGCGGTTTCTGGTAGCAATGTTCACTGATAATGTACGAGTCTTGGAAGGAGGGGAATGGGAAGGAGGAGCCGGACGAGGAGGAGGTGGCGGCTGTAGCGGCCCGGCTCAGCTTCTCCAGAGCGTTGGACATTAAAATCTCCCCTCGGCTCATGTCCTCATCGGGAGTCGCGTTGCTGCTGCGGCACGAGTCCGAGGCGGTCCACGACCTCTCCAGATGTTTCCAGGGCTGCCGCCACAGCTGCAAGTCCGGGTGAGTATTGCTCCTGAAGGGCCAAGCAACAGATAAGACTAACATCACATACAATAAAATGATAACATATTTTATTCAAACTGGATGATACGGAAAGCAACTTATTTGATTGACTTGGTAGATAAGAGTCTCTTCATAAAATCCCTTTGTACTCACTGCAGGACGTTCATCTTGATCTGCAGTCCGCTGAGGATCTCCACCACGTGGTGCACGTCCCCCAGCAGCTGGTGGGTGGTGGTGATCTTCTTGGCGTTTTGGTGCGAGTAGTTCTCTTCCAGGAAGGACAAGCCGTACATGTGACCGTTGATTAACCACTCACGGTCGTACCAGTAGCGCAGACTCTGTCTCTGACCTGGAAATGATTAACAAATTGCAATGAAATTAAATCAAATGCATCGACTTGTTCAGAAATAACAAACCATACTAGAGCTTTGTTACAATTCAGTGATGAATCAAGCAATACTTCCTTGGGCAACTAACTTCTGTATCACAAGGTAAAAAACATATTGTAATATTACCCTTATTGTAATATTACCCTAAGATATATTTTTCCATAAAAAACATTCCTGTCCACTGATTATTGTACACACTGTGATTTGTGTTATTGTCCACTAGATGGCACATAATACTTTTTCCAATGAAACAGGAAGTCTGCAGTGCTCTCACCAGAATAGCAGAAGTACCAAGCTCCCAGGAAGTGCGCCAGACTCTGAGGAAAATATTCGTTGTGGCCAAACGGCGTTACTACACTTCCGTATCAGTCACTGGGCCCAGAAAGACTTTTTCCCATTGACTAACATTGGGAAAGAGACGTTTGTAAATCGTTGTATTTTTTTTTATTACACTAAATAAACTACCCAGTATGAACATTTGTATAGCCCTTATTAAAAACATTCGGTCCTCAAGTTGTAAAATGAGCTAATAATGTTATTCTGAGAGTTATTTTCATCGACATTATGAATGCGGATCTAACCCACGGGACCGCGCCGCCCGGCACGTTCATGTGACGTGTTCAGTACTACATGATTTTTTCCCTTTACCCATGGATGCACAATAAGAACGGATTATATGGTTATATGAATACTTTCGTGACGTTTCGCTCTCTCAAAAGTTTGGCCATTCTGTCTTCATGCGCCAATGAGCAACTCTCATAGGAATGAACGAGGCCCCGCCTCCCACGCTGTATCCAGCTCTTATTATACATCCATGAGCAGAACAGATCATTGGATGTCAACAATTTTTTTTTAACCGACAGTGTGTAGTTTGTGGTGCTTGACGTTTCCCTCACCTGGTGGGTCTCTGCAGATGTAGCAGGTGTAGCGGTCGGGAACATTGTCTTCCAGCAGGCCCATGCAGGTGCCATGCTGCCAGCACAAACAGTCTTCACACTGAGGGAGGACAAGCCCGTTTAATTACTGCTGTCCTGATACACAAAAGGAACACAGTGCAAGCGGTGACGAAACCCCCCCATCTCACCTGAATCATGAAGTCATTCTCCTCCTCGACCTCACAGATGCAGCGCACTAACTCCTGGTCGTTTGTGTCGACAGCACCCGAGTCCACACTCAGGGGAGGCGTGGTGACGTCTAAATCCCCCCCGAAGTCCTCGTCGCTCCACCCACAGCTGTCAGTGGACCAGTCGCTCATGCTATCATCATCTACAGTAACAGGGACATACATTATTGTTTTTTGGGAAAATCACAGATATTAACTTTCAGATTTAGCTCATTGATATTTTTGAATCGATACAAAATGCTGCATGAAATGATTATCAACCAATATTTTTATGAATTACACGATGAAGCAAGCAAAAGCAGCAAAGTAAAAGCTCAGGATTCAATCAACAAAGTGTTATGTATGTTTGTATATCATCATTGACAACGAGCAACCAGTTTAAAAAAAGAGACAGTTCACCCCAAAATCTAAAACATATCGTTTTCCTCTTACCTGTGGTGGTATTGTTTAACCTCTGGATGTTTGATGAGAGTTGCAAAGTATTGTATATATCAAGCGGAAGAAACATGACCCGGTTCCACAAGTTAATCCACAGACCTCGTTCTGAGCCGTTTCATTTACAGCAACTATTTTCTTTCTACCCAAACACATCAGCCAAGAGTTTCACAGAACAAGTGAAGTGTGCATCCACTCAAGGACGGCACCATTGTTGCTTTTCCTCTCATGTCCTGGATGAAAGCTTCCTCTTTGGCATTGATACAGTTGGCAGTTTGGTAGAAAGAAAATAGTTCCTGAATTTTACTTTTAGGGTGTGTGTGTGTGTGTGTGTGTGTGTGTGTGTGTGTGTGTGTGTGTGTGTGTGTGTGTGTGTGTGTGTGTGTGTGTGTGTGTGTGTGTGTGTGTCATCTTGAATAACCAGGCCAAGGTTTCTAAAAAGAGACATTTCTGTTTTTAAATGTATGTGTATTTTTTATTTTGGGGTGAATTGTCCCTTTGTCTTTCAGGTCATTTTGTGTGAAGAGCCACATTTGGACATGAATACCAAATGAGACACAGGTTAAACTGGAACAGCATGAGGGATTGAATCCAGAGAGAACAGAAGAATGAAGAGGAGAGGAAGCCATGAACAGTCACACACACACACACACAGTCACAGAGGTACCCACCATCCACATGTATCTGCTTTGAGTAGCTGTATCCAGGCCTGCTGTGGTAGGCCTCAGGCTTGTGATTGTGTGAGGGGGGGAATTTGAGTGGCAAATTCAATTTGGACTGAAGACCCAAAACTGAGATGTCAATATTCTCCTCACTACCTGTGTAGTCTGTTAATACAGGGAGGGGGAGGGGGAGGCAGACGTAAAACAAAATGTCATGAAGGGAAAAAAATTGTGGGACAACAAAACATGGACAAATAATAAACTCAAGAACTGACCGGGACAATCAATCTGATCAAATCCCGGGGTGCACCCATGACACCTTTTTCAGCGGATGCACACTTTTTGGAAAACAAATACCGTAATCTTCGGACTATAAGCCGCGCCTTTTTTCCCATTTTTCGACGCTGCAGCTTATATAACGGTGCGGCTAATCTATGGATTTTTACAGCTAACGGCCACTAGGGGACCTAAATCTATGGATTTTACAGGTTACAGTCCACCACCTTTAACTCTATGGGCTCTATGGCCGGTCCGCGCCCCCCACCTTTAAGCGGCGGGCTCCAGCAGGAAAAGCTGGAGGCCGGAAAAGAGTGAGACGGGTAGCGCGCAAAAGTAAAAGTGGAACCGAGAGTGGTACGAGAGACAGAACGAGAGCAAGACAGACAGACATTACGAGAGCGAGACAGTTTGTCCCTGTACCACTGGTTGAAAACCACTGCTGTAGATCACTGCCGGTACGTGCGCTGGGAGCGCACCGTTTAAGTTTGAAAGTTGAAAAGTTTGTGTGTCTGAAACGCTATGTGATACAGTACAGTTTACGCAGCACAGTACATGTTCTGTAGCTACTATTGCACTAAATGCTAACACTTGAATACGTTATGCAAATAGTTTGTTGAAATGTTAATAAATGGGAGCTTCCTCAAACAGCCATCTCTTTCCCGACAATCCCCTCTGTGCACGAACTCTTACATATGGTAATTAAACATTAAAACACCTGCGGCTTATAGTCCAGTGCGGCTTATATATGTACACATCATTCAATTTAGCTGCTGCGGCTTATATTCAGGTGCGCCTTATAGTCCGAAAATTACGGTACTAAATGTTTTTTTACAAAAACTGTTTTTAAGGCCTACTTCATATCTTTGAATAAGCACAAAACCCTAAAAATACTTCTTACAAAATGTCTATCTCTACTCATTGAGAGATTTTAATTTCAAACATACAGTGTCTGCGTATGATTCTTGTTGTCTGTCATAATCCATTGTTACCGGTCATTTTTGATGATAATAAATACATATTTAATAGAATCAAATTTCCATTCAATTGTTAGGTTAATGAATTTATATAAGCATGTTTAATTAAGACAAGAGAAACGCAATTCAAAAGGTTAGAGGGTTTCCCGATGCCGATGTTTAACCGATAAACCGATTGGTGCATTCTTACTTTTATAGTAAAACTAACAAAAATGGAAGGAAGGGAAGCTACACGTGAGCATGCTGAACATACTGTACCTACATGATTTGTATATTGTACCAATTATTTTGTAATTCATTTAACTTTTGTGGCAGGAAAACAAATACTAAACATTTTGTTAAATAATATATAAATAATTAGCAGTTTTTTAGGCCTGCATAATATGAGTACAAAAACCCTAAAAACACTTTTTACAAAATGTCTCTTCTGTACAATTACCTACTCATTGAGGAGATTTTAAAATGTGATTCTTGTTGGCTGTCATAGAGAACCGCAGTGACGCGTCCTAAAACCCGGAAGTAAACTCCTTCCGGTTCCTTCGTCAAAAACGCAATGCAATTTCTCCATAGGATTTTTGGAAAATAGCTGGAAATAAGGTCTGTGGTTGAAACACATTTAAGAGACGGATCACGTTTTGTTCAGCCGGATAATCTCCACATGTCTACCCTACTTTTATAATTTTGGAATCATAAATCTAGACGCCAGAAGCCAAATGCTAACGTTATGCTATAAACGAACTNAAAAACTCCTTGGAAAAATCTTTTTTTCATGCATAAAGATGAAAATATCCTTAGTTTGTTGTAATTCATGCATTAAGGAGTTAATAAATCAAACACTGATGGAACATCACTATATTGTAATTATTTATATAGGCTTTTTCTGTCAAAAATGTCCGGGGTCGGTCAGGGGGTGCATTACTGAAAAAAGCATGAGAAGCACTGCATTAGACCAGGGGTTCCCAAACTTTTTAAAAAGAATTTCTTAAATTTTCCATTTTTATTTTGTAATCATCTCTCGACCCCCACT